GGGTGGGGCGCTCACTCAAAACGGTTTCATATAAATGGCATTTTGTGGGAGTGTCGACATGGGAAGTAGACACGAGCTTTTTCTGGAGGGCAAATAATGGCTCGTGATATGATGCTTCCCGAAGCTAAATTTTGTATCTTTTGTTCATTCTTTGTGATCATATATCTAAATTCATTTAATGAACAATCAACTATTACGTGCTATAAATGCTGACTAGTATGTTTTGATTCCAGTAATTCACTTTTCCAGAAAGGTCTTTTTCTGGCAATATCGGGCCGCTCAAAAATGTGAACTCCGCTCCTATGCTGCACGTATGTGCCTCTACACGTAATCATAGCATAGCAATAACAGTTGAAAAAGCGCTTCACTTCTTGGGCGACGTTGGTGAATTTTGCGGTTAGGCTGTGTCAGAGTCCGCGATCCGTCGCAGGTTTCGCGCGATTCGCGCGACGGATCACAGAAATCACAAGTGCCCGATCAATACTGCAAGGTGCTCTCCAATCCGCCGCCATTTCTGCTTGATGGTGATGGCTGAATGACGACTGTTCATGATTCTACTTGTTTCATATTCAGTGTTTCAAATGTTCAAATGGGGCACTTGCGATTTTTGCGATTCGCGCGAAACCGCGACGGATCGCGGACTCTGACACCAGCCTTACACTGGCAAATTAAGAACTATTATAGCTTCTTTCTAAGAGTTACTTCTTGTGGCTGAGCGTTTGTGTTCGGCGTCATTATGTTTTGGTTTTGTCGTCCTCTACGGCTGGAATCCCTTCCAGTATTGAACGCTTAGTGGCTGACCTGATCCCTACTTTATTCTTATGGAGGACATTGACAATTTCTTCTTTCGAGCTTCGTTTTTTTCATCCTATGCTTAAAATAAATGATATGAACAAATGAAATTGATTTGAAACTTTGATATTTGGTTCCCATCTATAAGGTTGTATCATAATGCTAGTCCTGAGGGACTTATTTTGATATTTGCGGAAGAACGTGTAGAAATTTCAGTTTTTTAGTGATGTTCTTATGTGGCCTTTGTGTTCTATTTTGACTCGTTTTTTAGATGAAGAAAAAAATTTGCCGTGAATTGATCACTCAAATCCTTGCGAGAAAACCCAAAATGTGTGCTTTTCTCGAATACAAGGATCTCAAAATTGTTTATAAGAGGTAAGTCTCGGTATTTACATTTACATGAAAGATCGTTGGACTTCCCAGAATTTTGATTTGAAATCCGAATCTTTTATGAAAATGAACGAGTGAATTTGCATTCGTTCTTTTTTTCTTCTACATACATATGTTTGTAGAAAGTGGCTGAAGATTTCATATAAGGATTGAGATTCAGGTACGCATCGCTCTATTTTTGCTGTGCCATCGAACAGACAGATAACGAGTTGATATGTTTGGAGGTTATTCATAGATATGTGGAATTACTGGACAAATACTTCGGAAGCGTAAGTATTCTTGTAATTAATTTTTTTTCATTTCGGATTTGTTACACACATTAGTTACGACCTGGACAGGTGAATAATTCCATTTTACATGTCACTCTAATGCACAAACACCGGCTCATTGTTTTACAATTGAAAGTTGATGTTGCTTGTAAGAAGCCCGAGGGATTAAAATTCTGCTCCTCTACTTCGTTTTTGCAGTTTTCATTTATCATTTTTTAGGTTTGCGAACTTGACATTATTTTCAATTTTGAGAAGGCCTACTTCATACTTGACGAGTTCTTACTTGCCGGTGAGATTCAGGAAACGAGTAAGAAGCAGGTTCTGAAGGCGATAGCTGCCCAGGATCTCATTCAAGAGGTGCGTCCGAAATTTCAGTGAAGGCAATGATTCCATGGACTAACATTGAAAAATAGATGTACAGACAGATATTTGAAATTTTCGGAAATCACTGTAGAAACGTCTCGTTAACAAGAAGCTCGGCTTTTTAAATTTTGTAGCATAATATGTAAACTATTGAGGAATGCATTAAAATTTTCTGGCCGAACATTTTCTCTTGTTTTTGAATCTCAGAGCTGTGCCTACTCACTGAAATACTAAATTTAAAGGGGCGAAAAATGGGTAGAATGGTGTAGCTCCCAAAATAAAAATCCAAAAACAAAAGCGTTCCGGTCCAATTTGTCCTTTTTTCAGGAAGAAACGCCTCAGGGCTTGTTTGAAGACCACGGACTCGGATAATACTGAGAATGCGGTAGCATTAACACACTGTATGCAAGTACTTCCTAAGTTTTTGTTATCGTAGAATTTCAAATTTTTCCAGTTCGCTATTCCCTTCGTTCTCCGCTTTTTCTTTCTTTTTTGAAGCGTATATGATTTCCTTGTTATCTTTCGTCTATTGCTGAATGTAGTCCTTTTCCTGCAATCTGTGATCATGGTTTTAAATTATCAATATTTGTTGTAATAATGCTTTGGCATCTGGTTACGCTTGTGTAACCAGTCATTTCGCATACTAGGGTAAATTATTCCAGCTTTGTT